TCTTTGTCAAAGGGTGCACAAACATAAAGTTTTTCAATACCGGGTTGCGGGGTGGGGAGAAAAAATTGTTGTTGTAATTACATTTCAGAAATTCTTCATTTTTGTTGTCCTCAGCCCATGGGGCTAGCTTTGTCAGAGATGGAACAGCTACAAAACTATGAAGAATATTGGCTCCACATCTTGAATGAATGACATGTGCACTAAGAGGAGGCGTGCCCTGTATCACGGACAATATCTAGAAAGCTGTTATAATAGTATAAAACGCTCAACAAAACAAACAGTAATCACATTTTTAAAATTCCTGGGTGGAGTGTCATACCCATTAATTATGACAGTCCACTAGTTAGAGGAAGGCACTGATTTCCTTTAATTCTCTACGGCATAACCATTTGTAAAGGAGCAAAAGGTGCTGGAAATTTAGGATGGGAAAGGGAGTAGATTGAGAATCAAATGTGTGTGTATATCTTCAGAATAAGCAAATTATAATTTTTATGAGGCTTGACAGCTCCTTGAGTACCCTGGGGTGTAAACAGTCAGGGCCAGCTGACTTAAAGGTATCCAGCCTGTCAAGGTGTTCCTTCATGAGTTCAGCTTCAATGGAGGGTAAGGAATCTCCCTCGTCCGGGCCTGCCTGACCCACGGTGGGCAGGGGCGTCCCATGGGATTGGTGAAAAACTGACCCAAAGTACCCATTTCGCAAGTTTGCTTTTTCATGGGCATTGGTTGTCAGTTGTCCCATCTGGTTTAGCAGGGGTCCAAAGTTGCCCTTGGTTTTCCTCCAGCTCCCACATATCTAAAAAAAGGACTTTTTATTGTCCTTGATATTTGTAGCTAGCTGGAGTTCTGTCACAGCCTTGGCTTTCGTGGTTTGCTCTCTGCAGGTCCGGACCAGTGCAGAGTGTTCCTCCTTGGTGGTGGTTCCAGTCCTCCATCCTTTGTAGGTCTTCCTTTTAAGACGCAGGAGGTCCACTAGTTCTCTGGAGAGCCAAGCGGGCTGTTGTGCCCTTTTGCTGCCTTTCTTCCGAGACGGGATAGACTTTGCTTGTGCATCCAAGATTGCTCCCTTGAGGAGCAACCACTCGTCCTGAACTTCCCTCCCCTTTGGGTTGTGGCCCTGTTAGGGCCTCACTGACAAGCCTCCTTAGCTTGTCAAAGTCAGGTTTCCTGAAGTCAAGGACTTCTGTATTACTGACTGACTTGCCAACTTTACGGCGGATGGTGAAGGTGATCAGCTCATGGTCACTGTCACCAAGCTTCCCTTTGATCATTAGGTCGCTGATTAGGTCATCCCCAGTTACCAGTACCAGGTCGAGAAGTGCTTTACCTCTCGTCAGCCCGTAGACTTCCTGCGTCAGATAGAGGTCATCCACGCGGGAGTGAAAACTTTATGACTGCTCAGATTTAGCTGAGCGCTCCTCCCATGCGATGTCTGGGTAGTTAGTCTCCCGTGACAGCCATACACTGGGAGCGTGTGGCCTCAGCCAATTCCCTGGCAAACTTGTATCATTTTAAATTGGTGGTGCACAGTCTGCTAGTTTGGGAATCGCTGATGTATACAAATTGAATTTGGCTATTAATTGTGTTTTAAGTTCAGAACAAAATTACCCAAGATGAAGGTGTAGGAAGAATTAGAAGCAATATGCTTGCCCAGCCTTATTTGGTCAAATAAGATTTTTGTTTCATTCCATACAGGAAAAGGATTTCAGGTTTTCTTTATGTATAAATGGGCCTGTCTTCAAACAAACAATCAACTAAGAAACCCCTTAAAACTGCTTCTTCCGTGCTAATGCAGTGATTGAAATACTAGTCTTCTGAACTGTCTGCTTGATGTTACCCCTGTTTTTGTTCAATGTGTATGTAATCAGAGTTAACATTTGAGGCATATACGATGCCAACCTTAGCTAAGATTTTCACGTTTTTGGTTGTCTGTAGTGCCACATAAGGTTCATAGTACTTTTTAAAATAATGTGTCCAAGGGTCAGTATGGCAAAAATGATGGGGGGGGGGGAGTCTGAAATATTGATGTTAACACTCAGTGTGTAGGCACATCTGCCCAAATGATAGCACTTTTTATTATTAAATTTGGAGCTGCTTGTCCATGTGCAGAAGTCTAGATGCTATTGAAACTTCTATCTCACTTTTGAGCAGAGACTGCCGTGGGTAGTAGTTTCATAGACTGTAGTGTCTCCTGTTCTTCCCTAAAACAAATTTGCTAATAACTTACTAGTCTCTGGGGGGGGAGTTGCATGTGGTCTGCATCTTGGAAGACTAGTCACCCTAAAATCAGGTTTTACACAGTTATGTGGAGGATTCTCCAAAGATCTGGGGATATTTGGCCTGCATGTAAAATAGTCAGGACATGAGGGATAATGCAGTGTTCTGATTTCAGGGCAATATTTTCTGTGATTAACACCCGCTCCCTCCTTCCCCCGCCCATGGCTCAGATCATTAGTAAAAGTGTCTCTTGTGCTTTCTCAGGGCACCAGATGTAGAGAGTAGGGTTGTGCAAAGCTTTGGTCACTGATTCAATATGGAGGAGATTCTGCCCGATTCGGCACCTGAATCTCTGACTCCACATTGAATCAAGAGACTTGTTAATATCTTTGAATTGAATTGGAAGCCTCCAGATTGATTCAGAGAGATACGGCAATTCAGCCATAGACACACCTTTATGTTTTTTCTATGTACCTTGAGGTACCAGGCGCAGCTTGTGAATGCTGAGATGGTGGGGCGTATGGAGCATCCCACAGGAGCATGCAGGGGAAGGTCCCTCGTGCACTTAGCAGCAGATCTGGAAGTGGAACAGAAGGACTTCTGGGTCCACTGCGGAGCATGTGGGTCTTCCCCTCCCCCACAAGCTTGGCAACTGGTGCCTCCTGGGTCTCGGGGGGGCACCCAGGGTCCCCCCCAGAAGCCGATTACCGACCCAGGGTGGGTCCAGGGGGCCCCCCCACGCTCCACCTCACCATCTCAGCTTTCAAGAGCCATGCCTGGTAGTTTGAGGTGTGTATAAAAAACATATAAAGCTGTGTCTGTTGCTGATTCTCCATATCAGAATCTAATCTTCAGATTCTGATTTGGCCAAATCGAATCAGGACAGTCATCCAAATCAGCTAATCGAATCACTGTCCCTTGAATCAGCCAAATCTGAATTGAATACAGCCTGCTTTAACACCCCTAGTAGAGAGTAAACTTAACACCCTTAAATTAATAAAGAGAAATTTGTAGAAATCAAGTTTTTAAGAGGAACTGTGCTGCTTTTCCTACTGTTGTTTCTTTTACAGGGAATCTGTGCATTACTATAATTAACCTTGTCATATCTGGCTGCTTCTGTCATAAAGAAAGTCTAAGTATTTTTCCAGCAGGTTACATACTCTTCTTTGAGCTCCTGTCATGGAGTATCAAATTAAGAAGAAATGGGGGATGTTGTTTTCCCATATATGTTAAAATCAGTATAACCGTGTCTCAAATGTGCTGCTGTCTGTTTTGGCTTAGTGGGACCTTTATTTGACTTTCTTAAATAGAATTTAATATATTCATTCAAATAAGCTCTAAACTTTGAATAAAAAAAAAGATCACACTTCCTGTAGTTCTCTTGTTTGTATCTCAGCATCTGCTATTTGCATTAGGGCTCATGGTTTTTGTTTAGAGTTGTTTTTTCTGAAAATCTGGGCCTACTCTAACATCTGAATTTGAGAAATAAGCTAGTTAATACTTTATCACCTACTTAATATTCTTTTCTTTTACTTAAAACTTCACAATGTCTGCAGTGTTTTGTTTTGTTCTTCCACTATGTTTGCCCTTCCTCTTTTCTCTCAGATGCAAAGTGATGCGATTCAGACTGAATCATCTGGTTCTTTAGCTGTAAGAAAACAGCACCTGTGGATTGGCTTTGGTGTATAACGTCTAACATTGTCATACTAATTTTAATGCTAATGCAGAAACGTATATACCATACAGTATAGGTTGAAGGTGAATTACTATTTCTCTGAAAGCTTTGACCTCCTAATTATTGTGCATTTAATTTCTTTATAAAGCTGCATTAAGAATGCGGCAGGTTGTGGGGCATTTTAGTACTTAGGTTGGGAAAACGTTATTGTCACTGCATGTTACACCCATGATTTACAAAAATAACATCCCAAAACCTTCATGCCTGTTAAGTTAGACTGTCGAAATTGTAACCATGTGCATGCAGGGAGGAAAATACTGATTGGAAGAGTGCAAATGTCTGGTTATGGACTGTAAGCAAAAAGGAAGCAGTGGGAGGCTTGTATCCAGGCAGCTGGTATGTGGCCCTACTGATGAAGGGGAAAGCTCTATCGCATGCAAACAGGAATGGGGTTATGGGATAACTTTACAATAGACACAAAAGAGAATAATATTGGAAGGGGATAGATTTGTGTGAGTAGAGAAGAGAGGGAGTGCTTTATAAAAACCTGGATCTAAGGTTATAAAAAAAAAAAAAAAAAATCTGGATCCAGGTTATAAAAACCTGGATCTATGAATTAGTTGAACTGAATTCTGAGACTTTTGATGTCATCTAGGTGTTCTTGAGTACTTAAGTCTTGCTTTCATATTTTATACATTTTCTAAAGTCTCACAATGGAAAGTAGAGCCATGTAATTCCCACATGCATGTCTCAGAGGGTCTTCCCTTTGAGATATCTGGACTATGATACACTATTTAGAATCAGACAATTATTGTATACACTTGTCACTTGTAATTGGACTAGAGCAACGACTATCACCACAATGGCAGTTGATTCTAAATTTCTAACTGAAGACAGAGCTGCTTTCCATTAAGCCTTCCTTGCTTTCTCAGATGCTTGCATGTAAGAATTGCCATGGTTACAGTGAAAGACCTAGCTTCTGTCTTTAAGTGATTGAAGAGCCTTCACACTCAGCAGGGTATAGCTTTGCTTTTTGCATCAGCTGAGAGTGGCTATGAGCTCTTAATTGAAAATTAGACTTCAAGCCAAGCATCTTGTGTTCCCTTTACAGAAACGCAGCTGAATGGAGATAAAAGGGCCACAGATGCAAGAACTCGGGGACACGTTTCTGAAAGTTTAAGCTGGGTTCGACACTGACATCCTTTCCTTATTAATAAAGAAGAGTGTTTCAGATGGAACTTAGGATGTATTAACCTCAACTTATTAAAATACTAACTGGAATAATGTTTCGGAACAATTCTCCATAATAAAGTGCTTGTCCTGCCTGCAGAACGCTTAATAATTTTCTCTACTGGTAATGCAACTCAATGGAGGAAAGTAATTTATTGATAAGCATCCGTGATGATCAGTCATTTCATGTTCGCTACAGGTAAGACCATGTGCTATTTATAGTACCAACTTATTTATAAGCATTGTGTTAACAGTAAAATGTATGTAAATGTTCATGCTTTCCATTTTAAAGAGAAATGGGAAGAATAAACAACATAATTACAAGTGGAACAGATTCCCATGTTTTTGTTGCCAAACTTACTAAAACGGACACCTATAGAATACTGTTTCATTTCCTTTTGACTTTCCTAGCTTGATCAGTGAAAGTGGATTAGGTAGATACCCTGGTTGATTTAATTTTTGTTTCTCTTGTACTAGCACAAGGCTTATAATTACTGGAACTAATGCGTGCTTTTACAAAATGATGTGTGATCATTAAAGTAGGCTTGTTTAAATTGACTTTCTTACCTACTTAGAAAATGTGAAGTGTAACCCTATTAGGATAACTCCTGCTTTTCCCCACTTCTTCAGTTAGCTTCCTTTAGAAATAGTCTAGTTTATTCAGTAAAATCTGCTGAATTCCTTTTTCTACCCCCACACAGTTTCTATAAACTATGCAATTTCAGAGACTGTTTCTGGGACTCATTTGAATGGCATAAATTAGGATGTTTAAAGGAAAGAAATAGTGATTTTTTTTCAGTGCAGGTGAAGGTGCTATGCTCTGAAATATATTGACAAATTGAGACTTAAAATTTGTCCAAATATATATTTTTTTATATTCTTATTGAATTATATGCTGGGTTATTATGGAGGTGTGGACTTTTATTGTGCTTATGAAGCACTTTGAAAATGAAGGGCTAAAAGAGACTGATGATAGTGGTAGACCAATAGCTTGGGTTGGGCAGGGCCTTCTCTTTCTAGGAGTCCAGCTATCCCACAGAAACCCCTGTATAGGGAGGTAATCCCTCATAATGTGTCAGAGCAGTTCTAATAGAGCCAGAAAACAGAATAGGATTGAATATCTCCCAGCCTCCACTTGGCCACTGGAGCACTGCTTCAAGAAGAGTGAGTTGTTCAGCTAATTCCACAAGAACCAGATGCCATGTCAAGGCTTCTGATTGTAAAGACCAAAAAAATTCTATGATAAGATCCTCATGGTGGTTCCTTGTGTATTTCTATTGTTGAAGTACTCTTGATTACATTGAGACACATGATGCCACCTTTCAGCATAAGGAAAACTATGCTGTGACTTAAAATTTAATGTAGCCTTGCGTCTACTGTAGAGATCAGTTACAATGCAATTTGTGTAATTTATAACAAATATCAACTAAGCTATATACATTTCTGATCCCTCAGGCTGCTGTTCTGACAAATGCCAAAGGGTTGATTCTGCCTTCACTTGCCCAAGATAACTTAGCATGCTCCTGTGTAAACAAAGCCATTAAGTAGGGCAGGTCTCTTTATGGTCAGTACTGAAAACCTTTCAAAATAGACTCCTGCCATCCTTCAGAGAGTTGTTTTTTTTTTCTTATGCAGAAGTCTGGAGAGATGAAGTTTAGAGTCCTAATGTTTGAAATGTATGAGTGAACCAGAACATTTTCATCTGCCAACCACTGTTTGAGTGGATCCTCTCCCACTGGGACTGTAACACGTGTCCAGGGGCAGATCCAGAGGAGGTACAGTGGTGTGCCTGCCTGCACCCCACACTTGCGTTGGACTTTTTAAAGTCCCTAAATCAGCTGAAAATCCTCCCTCCCTTCCTCTTACTGCTCAAAGGCACACCCCCACCCTGCTCCTTCTCTCCCCTCTCCCTCATGCCTTTTCCCAATGTCCCAGGGGTGGAGAAGCACCAGAGCTGCGCTGCTTTGGAGCCTGGGTTCAGCTAGGGACCAAGATGACAGCAGCAGGAATGGATGGAGGGTGGGGATTCCCCTTCCCCATGGTGTGACCAGGCAAGGTGGGAGAACTACTGTCTTCCACTATGCTGTTGCTACTGTCCTCTCCCCATTCAGCCATGCTGGCTCTGGAGCTCTGCCCCTAAGCAGTGGCAAAAGCAGCAGCAGCAGGCAGGGGAGTGAAGGGGGAGGGGGCAAAGGAGGGGAGGGAATATGTTTCTGAGCAGGAAAGGGAAGGGGGGGGCGGTTTCATATACATTAGAGACTTAAAGTCTGTCCATGCCGGTGGGGAGCAGAGGAGGTTGGGAGCAGGGGGTGCAGCCATCCCTGCCATTCAGGTTGCTTCTCTTGCATACCCCTTTAGGAAATCCTGGATCCACCTTATAGGTCTCCACACGCATTATTGCTATTCATGGTGTATTGATTTAGATTATTCAAGCGAATAGCAATATTGCCTTTTAGTATGTCACTCTTCACTGGCATAGTGCAAGTGTAAGGCAGTTTAGCAGCAGTGAGCAAGCATTGACCTTTCCGTCCTGTGAAATCCCAGAATACCCCTATGATAGCATAAACAGTTGATAGCCCTGTTTGCCACTTATACTAGTTGTGTGCTGGTGAGGGTGGTGTCAGTTGTGCCTGGCCTCTTAGAAGTCCTTTTCAAGGCAATCTCAAGAGCAATATGGGCTCTAGCCACCAGCTGACATCCTAGGCCCTTGACTGACTGAGAATGCAGACTTGAATAGAATCCTAACTGTTAATATGAAATCTGCACTGGATTAGGGATTCCATTAAAACAGAAAGCAAAATCCATGGTTCATTAGTTAACATGCTAACATGTGCTGGAGTGTGCAGATGTGTGTATATACACTCTGCTGTACTTTGACATGTCATCCTGTCTAATGTGTTGCTCCCTCTATTGTAATTATTTTGGCTAGACAGCCACCAGGGTAGCCCTACCCCTTGGACACAGTCTTGAAACTGGAAGTCCTGCCCCTAACCCCTGACCCTTGCCATGAGAAGTCCCTTCCCTTGCCCCTGGAAGTACTCGTTTTGGGAGGGGATGCCATCTTGGAACCAGAAAAAAGAAACAAATTATATAGTAAAAATAAAACATGTGCTACAACATATTCTAATTTTATTTTTTAAAAATATTTTTGTCCTAATTTGTGTTTGCATAGTGTACACAGAGATGATTGTATAATGGCTCAAAATGAAGTCTTACCTTTGTATATTGTGGGGGGCCATAGAGGAGTTTGAGGGGGGTATGGGTGGGTGGGTGTGTGGGCTTTGTGTGTGGGGGGTGTGTTTATGGGGATGTGTGGGAGTGAGGTTTATGGGGAGGTGTGGATGTTGGGGGTGTGACTGGGTGTGTATGGGGGTGTGTGGACCTCCCCTAACATGGTCCCCTCCTCAGGGAGCTTGCAACCCATGGCAGGCAGAGCCCCACCTGCTGTTTTGCTCCCACTTGCTGCCACTTCCCCCCCACTCACCCACTGCCACTTTCCTTCTGCCTGCCTGCTGCCACCACCATTGCTTCCCCTGCCTGCCCACCTGCTACTGCCACCGCTTTCCCTGTCTGCTGCCACCACCACTTCCTGTGCCCACCCACTGCCTCCTCCCCACTCCCCTCACCTCCTGCTCCCACCACCCTTTCCCTACCTGTGGGGCTGGGGTCAGGGGCATCTTGCAGGCAAGTGTGGGAGCATAATGCATGCTGCTCCTTCGGGAGTGAGTGGGGCTCAGCACCATGCGAGCACAGCAGGGACAGCCTGGGACAGGGTCGGACTTAGTGAAGTTATAGGCACCTGCCTGCAGGCTGAATGAAATTACCTGGTGGGCCAAATTCAGCCCCTGCTCTACTGTAATAGGTGGAGGAGAGAAAATTAGCCTAGCCGCAGATATCTTTTTTATGTGTTTGTTCACTGACATATGCTTGATATGCCTGATATGATAATTGTATGGTTGCAACAACACGTGTTTCTTTGAGTAGATGCATCCTAAGACGGGCTGGGAGGACCACAGGTAAAAAAGATGCCGGTTTTTTTAATTATTGCTTATTAACATTTTTTGTTAACAAAAGCAAATGAAATGGCAAAATAATATTTAGACAGTCAGTTGCGTGAAATGTCTTACTAGCTTTCCACAGCATAATGCAAGATTGAACACAACTTTTTATAAGTAAAGTGGAGATTTTCAATATTTGGAGGAAACCTAAAGAGAAAGGTGTTAGTCCTGATGATTACAAAATATTGGTCAGATTACTATGCAAGTGTCAACTCTGCTTGTAGGAAGTGTTAATGAGGTCATATCTCCACTATTTTAATCAAGGTACTACCAAGTGAGACAGCATATTGAATAGATTTGAAGCTCTGTAAAAGGATAATGGGGGGTTAGATAACTTGCCTCTTGAGACTGATGGTTCTAGTTTAAAATAAGGTTCAGGAAAAACTGTTTTTTGACATCATCGTTACATGTCCTTGCAGCGGAAGAACTTGGGCTCTAGAGGAGGAGCTTTCCTCCTTTGCTATATCCCTATAGCAGAGAATCGGGGGGAAAAATCAACATTTAATCTTGTTAAAATTATGACCTTAAAATTAATTGAAAATTAATCCTGAGGTTTTATTTTGTATTTGTACTTGACTGTTTGACCTATCCCTCTCTCTCTCTTCCCACTTGGTAGTTGGACAGTATTCTCCTTGGAGCTCTGGAAGTTGTTAACAGAAAAAAAACATTACATGTATTAGACAGAGGATAACAAAAATACACTTCAGTGGCTGGAAATAAGGTGGCAACTAGCTAGTTCTCTGTGGACCATTGGAAGTGCTTCACAGAGTAACTGTGAACAATCAATCTCTGCCTCAACATAATGATCTAATGTACCTGAAATCCACAGTTAAGGGCTTGTTTTAAGCAGTAAAGAAAGATTTTTGATGAATCCCAGACTCCCATCAGGCTTCAGCTTGCTTAGCTAACACGTACTAAAATGCAGCGTGGCTTGTCTGGATTAGAATGTTTGAATTTGTTAAATGACACATTGTAAATTATTGGGAGGGGTTAGTCTGGTAAGACGGGTGTGTCAAGAGGAAAATTAAGGATGGCGTAAGATTTGTGCCTCTACATGCAGGAGATAATTGTAAATTAGGCTTTATTTTTAATGTCCCCTCTCCTATGGTTTTATGTTGTGTGTTGCAGTCTTGACTATCTC